AACAGTATAATGTATGTAATATTAGGTAATAGTCGACAAAGACTAATGAAAATGGCATATTTATAAATTTTAGGTATTGCATTCACACTGTGCATTTTTGTTAAGCGTTTTGGTATTGACGACAGACTGCTTGGAGCAATTGGATGTTTGAGCAAAGGATTGGCTTCATTTGTTTACGCMTTCGCCCCGACCGAATTCTTATTCTATMTAGGTAAATATTATGCAATTAATTGTGTATTATACTCATATAAATTTAATAATTATACTTTATACTATATATTACGTAGGTATTTAATAATWAATCTAGAAAAATGATTTGATTACAATACTAATATATGTATAAATATATCTATTTCAGGTCCAATCGTGGACATTTTCCACGGTACGGCACTTGTTGCATTTAGATCAATACTTTCAAAACTTGTTCCTGCAAACCAACTTGGTATGGAATTAATGAACTACATAATAATTTTGAATTAATTTTTGTATCATACACTCACACGTGGTGTAATCATTTTAAAATATACCTATAGGTAGTTATTTATTTGCAGTAATTTGATTCGTATTTTATATAGGTCAAGCGTTGGCGGTATCTTCACTCGTCGAAACCATAGTTCCTGCAATATTCAGACCACTGTACAATGTGATTTATTATAAGACATTAGACTTTCTACCTGGTGCATTTTACATACTCGGAGGAGTGCTTAATATTTCCTCCATTTTTATTTTTMTGTGAGTAAATTGTCTTTATAGTTTATACATAAATATATTATGCAATAAGATTTAAACAAAATTTCGYTTATGTTTATGAGATATCAAACCACTAGCTAATACTGAACATTCATACAGCCATATTATGTATGTCAATTTAGATACAATATTATTAAAAGTTAAACTCCATAGAAATATTATGAATTATTAAAATAAATTTGGATTTTATACTAGTAATATAACCATAGRATTGATCTATTTGAATATAAAATAGACAAATTTAATTTATGAAATGGTAAAAATTTACTGTCATTCAGTAATATTTATTATTTTTTGAATATAGCCTATAGTAGGCATAATAATATAATTGTATCATAAAAAGTTATACATTGATAGGTACGAAAAAAAAAAAAAAA